GTTGTTTTAATGAAAGTATTAAGACTTTATTAGCAAAGAAGTATAAAAACTTCTTGCAAACATCTTTTTTGTATGTGATCAGAGGATCAGCGGAAAGAGTTGTATCTTATATATAGTATATTAATAAATAATACTAAATAATTTATAAATATAAATAATTTTTTTCATAAGTTTTATAAATTTTTATTAAATAATAGATAAATAATTATCAAAATTTTAATAAATAGATAATGAATTTTTAATGAATAGTTTTGATGAATAATTGTTAAATTTTAATAAATAGTTTTAATAAATAGTTAATTAATATTTAATAAATAGTTTTGATAAATAGTTAACAAATTATTAATAAACTATTAATGAATTTTTAATAAATTATATTGAATTTTTATTGAATTGCCAATAAATAATTTAGTGACAAACTTTTATTGAATTGTTAATGAATTTTTATTAAATAGTTAATGAATTATTTAATAAATTGTTAATAAAATTTTTGATAATTTGTTGTTAACTTTTTAATTGACAAATTTTAATTTGCTAAATTTTTTAATTATCAAATTTTTAATTGTTGAATTTTAATTGTCACATTATTGCTAAAATATTAATATACTGAGTAACAATAATTAAAAAGAATTTGTCCATATTTTTATTATTAAATTTAATTAAATTTGATAATAATTCAGCTGCTGAATAATATAATTTTAACTAATAAAATCTATAAAAAATTTGAAACAAAAGATATAAAAAGATAATTGGATAGAAACAATTATAGGGGTTTTACAAAAAAATTTTTATATATTCTAGATCAAAGAACTACATTCCTATCAAAAAGAAAGCCATTATTAGAAAAAAAAATCTAGAAGATAAAAGTTTTAAAAAAATCTTAATTAAAAGAATAATATATAAAATGATGTGATTGGATTTGAATTTTGTCAAAATCTTCAAGAATAATTTGCAATAGTAATCTACAAGCAATAAAGTTAATAGTTAAAAGGATTTTTTTGAACTATTAATGGGACAATAAATTATTTCCAAAATTGCACTTAGAATTTTGATAAATTTTTAAATAGAGATAAGTTATTATAAATAGAGATTTAACTTTAGTGATATATTTTATAATTTAAAGTATACAAAACATTTAATAAAACATACATATACAGTATAACCTGACAAAGAGTTTAAAAAAAAATCAAAAAAATTTTTTTATTTAAATATTTTAATATAAAATTGTTCTATCAATTAATTTGATGACTCAATTTTTCAAAAATCATTTTTTTTTTTTTTTGTAAAATTCTGCAATGTATACTGTATATTAAATATATTAAGTCTTGACAAAATTCAGAGGGGATTTGCACTGTAATAGGTTTATTATTAAAAAAAAAAAACCATCAAGACCTTTAACATATAAATACGTTTTCTTGATACTTATATACTGTACATTTGAAAAAAGAAAAGGCCGCCGAATAATTTAAGCGCTCCGCGGATTTCCATCATATTTTTCAATCTTTTTTTTCTAAAACCACGTCATCATTATCATATTTCACTTTCACATTGTCGTATTCCTGTGACAAGATGGAAATGGATTCCCGTTGGAGATGTACGACCGAAGATGGATGGGGTTCGCGTTCGGCCTTGATCTTAAATAGAAATGAAACGATAGAGTGAAAATGGTTTCGACAGTTACCCGCGTAATGTCTGAATGGATGCATACCACAGCTTCGCTTTCCGAGGCTAACTTTTCATTCCAACCGGGAGCACTTTTCATGGACCCTTTAATCTTACCTGACGAGATTACGAGTGATAGAAGCCAAAAATTTGTTAGAAGAATAATGTGGAAAAAATTCCGGACGAACTCAAATTATACCATCAATCAGTTCTAAAAAAGAAAAAGGATTATTTATTCGACTCATAAAAATCATATAATAAGTGTGAAGTAAGAATAAACCTTCGAGAAGACGTCTTTTCTCGCGTTCAAGAATTTCAGGATCATTTTCTGATGTGTGACTATTTTAAAAGATTATTTGCGTCTGATCGATGTCGCCCATTTTAGACAATAATCAGCGATAACTACCTTCCTGAAGCCGTATAGTATCTAGCCCCGATATTTTCGTTACTAAAAGTTCGCCTTCCAAATGCGAAGGGCGCGAATCTTTTAGAGGAATTGGAAAAAGAAATATTAAAGAGAGATGTCGAACGAGAAGTGAAGGTCATATTTGCGATTGCTCTCAGTTGAAGAGATAGAGGCTCGTGGATGAGAAATTTATGAGAAATTTACGCATCATTACCAAAGTTTTCATAATACGTAGTATGGTTTACGTAAAAATGAAGCAATTGATAGCGTTTAAGCATTTTATGGTTAGACGGTGATATATTATATAAACGTGTAATGTTGGAGTCTAATAAAAATCATTTAATAATAAATTATATAGTGTTACTATAAGTTAATATAATACAAGGCCGTTTGATTACAAAAAAAAAAAAAAAAAAAAAAAAAAAAATTTCTTGTGGATATATTTATTATTAAAAATATTTTTAATATTGATTTTTAATACAGTAAAGAAATTTATATATGACAAAGAAAAAGACTTTTTTTTTTTAGTTGAAAAACAATTATTTATATTTTAATTAAGATTTTTGATATATCGCACAAGTAATTAAATATCAAAATCGTTCGTCATCCTTTATCATTTTAATTAACTAAAATTAATAACAAGAATTAATTTGAAAAATAGATACGTACTGTATCTTTGAAATATGTAATTGTATAATTTAATATTAATACAGTATGTGCTGTAAATGGCAATCCACTGAGTATGTGACACGATGGTATAGTGCAAAATATCTTTAACCTACTGACAATGGATAGCAACGAAGTAACCGGTGGCATAAATTCGTCATCAAATATCAGTGCTCTTGCAAATTCTTCCCCGAACCGTGATGATGAAAAATCGGTGCCAAAGTTTTGGGTCGATAAATACAAAAGAGAAGCATCAAAAAATTGGTTGGTAGATGCCATCATTTTTCAAATGTCAGTTAAATACATTTTAAAATTTACAGAATTCAAATACTCCTACCTAGGGACTTATTCTATAAGAGAAATACCACAAAATTTTTTAAAAATCGAAATTGGATTGGTAGAGAATTTGAAGAACTCTCTCTGAATGATGATGATCCTGACACGAAAGATCAGAAGGTTGTTTCCCCTCTTTGACCTTTCCTTTGTTCCATGCAAAGCTTCACTTCTAATCGGCATGATATTCTTGGTTGAATCAGAAGTTTGTGTTGGAATTAGGTTGCGGTGTGGGAAACTTCATTTTTCCCGTGTCTGAGTCGAATCAAAAATTGTTTATTTACGCCTGCGATTTTTCTAAACGTGCGATTGAATTTGTAAAGGTACATACGATAATGTCGTTCGTTTTTTTATTTCTACATTGATCGTTTCGTTGCAGAAAATTCTGCTTCTAAATGTTTTGCGCCGCACAACTAAACAATTCTCGTCTTTGCAATTTACCCAAACAATACGCTCGTGTCAAGAACCATGAAAAATATGATGAATCAAGGTGTCACGCTTTTGTTTGCGACCTAACTAAAGACAAGTTGAAGGATCACATCCCATCAACCAATATTAACATTGTTTCAGCCATATTTGTATTATCAGCCATACCTCCTGAACAGCACTTACACGTAATTCGCAATATTTCCGAGGTAAATAGCAATTCCTTGAAATCGACATTTTCATATATTGCTGTATATAAATTCATCGATTATTTGATAAGGTAACAAGGAAGGGTGCAATTGTCTGTTTCCGTGATTACGCTCAGTTCGACGAAACTCAACTGAAATTCTCAGCAACCAATGGCCAACATAAGTTGCAAGAAAATTTTTATGTCAGGCAAGACGGCACCATGTCTTATTTTTTTACTTTGGAATACCTGAAGGAAAAATTCGAAAGTGATCACTTGTTCAAGATGATAGATGGGGGTTATGTTAACAGGGAAACCATTAATAGGGCCAAGGATCTATGTGTGGATAGAAGATTTTTACAAGCAAAGTTTGAGAGGCTATAATTTATTTATAGAAAGAGTAAAATAAATGACAATGATTTATTTAGAGAACTAGATATAATCGAAATTTGTGATCTATTGAAGTTTTTGAGATGCCAAGGTCAATTCTTTCTCCACTTCTGAAAAAATCACAATGCCCGATTCTAACGTATCTTTTAGGATTTCTATTTTGTTTTCATCAAGGTTGGACTCCTACATTACAATAGAGTAGAATTGGTAAGGAAAACAATGATAATCGATGACTATGATTTTAACGAGCATCACCTTTCGAATTACATCCAAATCGTCGCCGAAAGCTTTCGTCATTTGTGACATATAATAATCTCGAAATTGTTTAGCGGCACCTGGACGTGACAGTAGCGGTATCGGTTCTGAATCTTTTTCCTTATACGAAAAAAAATCATGGTGAATGGGTTAGCAAGACAAAATCAACGAGCGTTCAACGAAACATAACAAATTCATAATAGACTACTTCTTTTTTATCCCCAGAAAAATCTTTCGATCCCCCTTGTGCATGTGTCATTTTTTTTGTCTCATTTGAAGAAACCACGTCGACTTCCATATCATGATCGCTGTTATCTTCGGATCCATCGGTTTCTTTTTCCGAATCATCTTCCATGATTTCTTCTTCCTCGGTGAATTCGCCGTCCTCCCCTTCGTTGGTATCTTTATCACTATTCCCACTCGCATCTCTAAACACTTCATTTTCACTATTATTTTCCGAGTTTTCTTCATCGTCACTGCTTTTCTTGGTCGAAATTACTCCCCCAGCTTCGCTACTCGATTTCTTCTCATCTTCTTCATCTCTACTGTTATCGCTATCCCTTCCCCGAGCACCTTTTGAAGCTTTTAAAGTCTGTGCATTTTTATTACTCGACTCGACTAATAAACCATCCTCTTCCGCGCTATTATTGTCCTTGTATTCGCCCTGTTCGTAATCTTCGTCCACCATAAGAAAATTTCTTCGACTTTTATTTGGAAGTTTTGGACCAATGACATTGTCTTCCTCCTAGAAATATGATGATTTTGAATCAATAAGACTTTTTCCGAGTTGATCATTAAATCAGTTAACTGTGAAATCCGGACTTCAGGTGATTCCGAGCGATAATCTAGCATCATCTCATCTAAGATGTGATCATTCACGGGTAGTTAGCGTAAAGAACTGTCAATATTGATGAATATACAAGTGTAGACTTGCCATTGTCATCCTTCCTTCTGTTATCCTTGTTATTCGGACGCGGTGACGAAGTAGGTTCCGATGTGGTTGAAGTAGTACGAATAAATAAATATTTATGAAAGAATTAAAATCTGAGTAATATAATTTGTTTTATGCGATAATCTTAAAGGATCTGACGAAAGCAATTATAATGCAAGTTTCCTATGCCCTTTGCCTTTCATTAAAAAGAAATGATAATGTCTCAAAGTCACCTTTGCCTTGATAACCTTATCTTTCTCTGATAATTCCTCATCAGATTTGTTAGCCATTCCTTCAGTAAAATTCGATGGGTTCACATTTTGGAAGTAATTTGTCTTTTTTGGTTGTGACTTATATGTTCTCTTGACTTTAGGAGATTTGGTGGGAGTTGATGAATTTGATCTTGAGTTGTTTTTTTCAGGTGTGATGTCGGCCGATGGAATCGACGTCTGTCTGGATCGACGGGCACTTTTGAGTCGACTCATTGAAGAAGGTATCGCCGAAAAATTCAATTTTATATATACGGTGTCCAGTTTTATAATAGTTGGCACATGATTGATGATCGCAACCTGGTATGCAAAAAAAAAAAAAAAAAAAAAAAAACCAGCAAACTGTAAATTTCTTGACACGGTGCTTTGTTATGTAACTAGAAGTTTGCGATTAGATTGCGTCAAATCGTCAAATTGTCAAAACGAGTCGGAGAATCAAAGATATCCAATTGGCATGATCACGCACGTCCATCCATAAGAAAATTCCACGCACACAAGGGTTCTCACTTTTGGATACCTTGACATACGCGGGAATATTTATTGAAATTTGCCGCGTCGATGCGTGGTGGTTTATTCGATCACGCATCATATCTAATTAATATTTATTGTAGGAATGCAAATTTTTAACATCATTTATGATATGCATATTGTCTAATTAAAAATGATAAATAAAATTTACTATCACGTTCATCAATGGCGCACTAAATTAACATACCAAATTTTGCCAATAGCGTCAAATATTGCAAGCCCGCGTAAGTGTTTTATTTTAATTCAACGCTTGTTATTAGCGCCAAAATTTTTCAGCGAGGTGCGCCGAATCAAACTGCCGTTTTGAAGAAATAATATGCACCGGGGGGGTTATTATTATTATTATTATTATTATTAAATAGAAATCGACCAAATATGTTTTTTTAGAAAAAAAAAAAATAATAATGGAGTTATAAATAATGTTTCTTTCACAAATCCGAAAATTTTTGTTGTTCGCATAATATTTGCCTTCACGATT